TCTATGTCTGGACATTAAGGAGTTAGGTATTTATTGGAGTCTTCATAGTCTGGGCTTGGGTGTTCTGATTTAAGCCATATCTGCATTTGGGGGCACCTCAAACCGGTAACACTGTGGTCCTTACAGATTCATAGCGGTAGTACCTTGGTGCTCTTGGATAAGATCCTGAAGAATTCTCTGGATTACCAGGCAGAGACTCTTCTTTTCTTACCACGCTTTCTCCCAAACAGAGTCTCTGTTTTGACCTACCTAGAGCTGGGGATAGGGTTATATAAGCAACCCTGTGGTCACCACCACTATGACTGTACTGAATAAGACCTGAATCCAACACAGCACTGGGTCTCACAAAAGGCCCACTATAACTACTACCTATCACTTGTGTTTGTTCAGATTCCTAGGGCTGTACAATCAGCAAGTGGCAAAGCCACACAGGCTTGTGTCCTTCCTTTGAGGGCGGTAACTTCTCCCATGCACCAGGCAAGTTCAGAGATGTCATCCAGGAGTAAGAGCCTGGAGTCAAAAACCCTAGAAATCTACCTGATGCTGTGTTCCACTGTGGCTAAGCTGGTGCTCAAACCACAAGACAGTGTCCTTCCCACTCTTTTCTCCCTTTTCTAAAGACAGAGGAACATCACCCCATGACTGCCACTACCACAGGCCCACAAAGAGTACTACTAGACTACTGTTGATGTTGTTCCCTTAAGGCCCAGGGGCTCTTTGGTCAGCTTGTGGTGAATGATGCCTGACCTGGAACTCACCCTTCAGGGCAGTGGGCTCCCCTCTGGCCCAGGGCAGGCCCAGAAATGCCATCCAAGAGCCAAGTCCTGGAATTGGGGACCCCAAGAGCCCACTTGTTTCTTTAACCCACTGTGGCCAAGCTGGTACCTAACATGCCAGACAAATTCGCCTTTATTTTTCCCTTTGCTTTTCTCAAGTAGTAGTCTTGCCCTGTACCTGCAACAGCTTGGAATGTGCCAAGTCTCACCTGAAGCCAGCAAGTCTCAGAGTCCTACCCAAGACCCTTGATGTGGTACCTTGGTATTGCTGCTGGGCCCAAGGGCTTTTCAGTCGGCAGGTGATGAATCCTGCCAGGATTGGCTCCTTTTCTTCAATGCAGCAAGTTCCTTTCTGGCCCAGGGTGTCTACAAATGTCATTTGGGAGCTAGGGCCTGGGAGGGAAACCTCATGACTATAACTGGTACCCCATCCTACTGTGGCTGAGGATATTCAAGATGCAAGACAAAGTCCTCCCCACTCTTCTTTCCTCTCATCAAGTAGAAGGAAGGGGTCTCTTTTGAGCTGTGCAGCCTGGGATTAGGGAAGGAGTGATGCCAACACTCCGTTCACTGCCTTGGCTGGTGTGTCATTGGGTTGTGTTCCCCCTCTAAACTCCCTAGTCCACTGGCTCTGGGCTCAGTTCAACACTAGGACTTACCTAGGAGTTGCGGTCCTTGCGGCCTAGATTGCCTTTAAAGTTTAATGGGGACACTAGAGCACTTTTACCCATAGTGAGCTCAGCGAACTCAAGTTCCAGCTGCTGGGAACAGCCATTCCTTTCTGGCTGGTTTAATGGTTTAAATGCTCCTTCTGTGTGTGGTGTCCAGTGAGTTTGTTCAGCTTTTGCTTTCTGCTATAGCAGGGTGGCACTGAGTTCAGTGCCTCAAAATTGCTATGTTCTCCCTCTCCCCAGTGCACAGAAATGCTCTCTGTATCATGCCACCGCTGCCACGGAGTGGTTGAGGAGTGGCGTTGGGGATTCAAAATGATTTTTCCTACCTCTTCAGTGCCTCTTTGAGTGATAGGAAGTTAAATCCAGCTAGAAGATGATTGGTGGAGTCTTGCATTCTGCTATTTTGCTCCACCCCTAACCACCTCTGTCACTCTTTTTTTGAACTTGTTTGGTAATAGGAGGTAGTCATGGTAAGACTTGTTAATTAAGGAGCAAGTGTTAAATAGTTCTAATTTGCTCTTAGACTACATATGACAACATCTCCCCTGTGGGTCAATAGGACTAGATTTGATATTAAGAATGTTTTATATCCTGCAGATTTCCTCTGTCTGTCCTTTGGCTCCTCCTCATACCACCACCATCACTGCAACTGAAAATACTTCTTACTCACTTCAGAAGTATGCAGAGTTACTAATATCTACTTCCCTTCTAGCCAAAGGACTTCTCTGTTATTTTAACATAATTTATTAAGGAATGCCTGACGTAGAGAGTCAAACAATGTGGGTTTGAATCTTGGCCCTGCCACTGGCTGTGACTATAATCACTCAGCTCTCTGGGTTCATTTCCCCCTCTGTTAAATGAGAATAATAACAGCTGTACTGCCCTCATGGAATTAACTGGAGAATAAAGTGAAATAAAGGATCCGAAAGTGGCTTGTAGACTCTAATGTGCCAGGTATTTGGGGAATGAAGTAAGTGCAGATCAGCAGCAGCTCTTTTTTTCTTTTTATTTAAGCAATTGCAGTGTGCCAGGGTCCGTGTCAAACTTTGAGGATTCTAACAAGATAAACTGGGTCCAAAAGGTCTTAAATCAGGCTTTGCTTTTCCATTCCTCAATACCTTGCCTGAGTCCAGGTCCTCATCATCTCCTTTGCTAGGCGTCCTGAACTGGGCTCTAGAGTTATCTGCTTCTAGAGTTATCTCTTCAAAAGCAAAGTGAATTATATCACCTCCATAAAGGTCTCTGTCATTTGCCCACTGCCTACAAGACAAAATTTAATTTCTTGACCTCAGTTTCCATCCGGTCCAGCCTTATCTCCTTTGAGTTGTTCCATATACCCTAGGCTTCTGCCTTACTGAATTTCTCAGTTTTCTCTGACATGGCAGGGATGAGACCAAGTCCCAACTCTGATTTTGCACATTTAAGTTCTCAGCCTGGAAAGCCTGCCTCAACCTTCTTCAACATTTTTGTTATTTCAGACAGTCTTGACATAGACTCCTCTATGACTTGAATTCCTCAAGGAGAGTGAGTTCCTGTAATCTTATCTGCTCTTGTGGCACTTTGTCCTTTCTTTGATGTGGTGTATTTTACTCTGTGAGCTCTTTAAGTGCTAGGATTAGGTTATTTAAGATAAGGTAATGAATGAGGCATTCTACCTAAGAGAGTGTAGCGGGTTGAATGATGGCCTGCAAAAAGATATGTCCACATCCTAATCCCTGAAACCTGTGAATGTGGCTCTATTTGGAAAAAGTATTTGTAATGTAATCAAGTAACTAATTCTGTTTCAGTAATTATGGTAATTAGTTACAGCAGCCCTAGAGAACTAATATATTAATAGAAGGTTATGGTACAGTGGTTGCAACATAATCAAATACTATCATCATCAACATCAGTACCATACTATAGTCACCATTATTATTATCACCTATCATGGAACCTGAAAAGTAGTATGTACTTAGAAAATTGTGATTGAATAAAAATACAGTTCTTGCCTATGAGCTTCCAGTCTGTTGGTAGTGGCAGTGGTGTTGATGAGAATTGTGCTTAAAGGTGGTATTGAAAGAGAGCTTCTAAAACAGACTCCCGCTTAAATTTTTGTTTTGAATATCTTTTTGTGTGTTTGTGTGAAAGGTGATAGTAGATGTTTTTAAATTATTTTTTAGAAAAACTTTTATACATTTTTAATTGTCCTTTTAGAATAATGCTAGTTTTATATAAATAGACATTAACAGTGCACCCCCAAACAGAAAAAATAAGTTGTTTTTGGAAAACTGATGAGCATTTATAGTTCTACCAGTTTAAAAAAATCTTAAACTATTCTTTCTCCCTAATAGAATGTTAAGTAGCTAAAATTAATTTTATGTTCATTGGCCTTGAAGTACCACGTAGAGGTGGATCTTGGAGCAGTAATTTATTCCATCATGCCACAAGGTGCTTGAAAATCAACCAAAGTTTACAAATACTCATAAACTCAAACTGGGTGAATTATATATAACTGTAAATTTTAGTTTGCTACTGGAAGAATTACCAGTGTTTCATAACTTGGTGTAATTAAAATAAAAACTAAGGTTAATTGAGCTCTTACTCCGTGGTAGACACTATTGTAAGCTTTTTACGAGAATTGTCATTTTGCTCTCACAACCACCCTGCTTTCTCTTTACTCCAGAGGAAGCTGAGGCACAGATTGGTCAAGTAACTTTCCTAAGTTCATTTTGGCTTAAGTAGTAGAGACTCATAGTGACCATGGCTAATAACCTCTACACTGCCCTGACTTGGTATACCACGTCAACTTTCATTCTTTAATACAATTTGAAGTAGAGAATATCAGTATGTCATCGTAAAAAGATTCTTACCCGATTTCGTAGTGTTTCAAACTTTAGTGTGAATCTACAGAGATTCTGATTAGTGGGGCTGGGAATGTGCATTTTAAATAAACACCCAGATGGCTCTGACTGTACTTTGAGATACACTGATCTGGTTACTACACAACTCCTACGGTTCACTTATGGCTTGTTTGTGTGCTTTAGGTTAGGCTCCTCTTTGCATACATCTGTGTTCAAGAGTGAGTCTGTTGAATACATACATGTGTCTAAACTTACGCCTGAAGTGCCCACCCTAGTAATCACATTTCCTTTTGTAGAAAATGAAGATAAGGCCAGCATCAGAGAGATTCATTTTTTTAAAACGTTTTGTATGAGCTTCAGAATCTGGTGTACTGACCTGAAGAAACTGTTAAGGGACAAAGCATAACATAAAGTTTCTACCCTAGTGGTATTCTATATATTCAGTTGTTATTAGAAGAAAATTTTAATGTAAAATCCACTTTGCAGTAGAGTAGTAGTTCCATTATTTGGGTTACTCTGAATATTAACTATAACCATAAAGGGATTCTTCTCATTTATTTAGTAAGAAAACTTTCACGCATTTGTACCACCAAAATCTCTGATTATGTGTGGTTTAGAATATGGGGGAAACACTATGCTTTCAAATTTTACTACTTCAGTATTTTAGTTATATATTGAATTGGCTAACATGTTTTTCTTTCTTCTAGGAAGGTCACAAATCACATTGAGCCAAAACGCACCCAGTGTTTTCTTCAGTTACAAATAAAATGAATATGCCTATGCTGCTACCACATCCTCACCAGCATTTCCTAAAAGGCCTTTTAAGAGCACCTTTCCGATGTTACCACTTCATCTTTCACTCACGGACTCATCTCGGATCAGGAATCTCATCTGCTCGGCCATTTAATTCTCTTGGACTCCATTGTTCAAAGTGGATGCTACTGTCAGATGGTTTAAAGAGAAAATTATGTGTACAAACAACCTTAAAGGACCACACAGAAGGACTCTGTGATAAAGAGCAAAGATTTGTGGATAAACTTTATACTGGTTTAATCCAAGGGCAAAGGGCCTGTTTAGCAGAGGCCATAACTCTTGTAGAATCAACTCACAGCAGGAAAAAGGAGTTAGCCCAGGTGCTTCTTCAGAAAGTATTACTTTACCACAGAAAACAGGAACAATCAAATGAAGGAAAACCACTAGCATTTCGAGTAGGTCAGTCTTCTTTGTGCGTTTTTTTCCGTAGATATTTTTACACATTCTCAGTATTCTGTTTTTCAAAGAAGTCTAAATAGTTTGCAATTGAATGGGGACGTTTTTCACATATTTGGATAAATTTTAAATGACTTTTCATGGCAAATATTAGTTAAGTTGAAAAAATTGCCATGACCGTTTGAACCAAGGCTATGTATTTTAAGATAATAATATAAGATTTTTATTTTGGCAAGAATCTTGCTCTGGATCCCAGGATAGAAATATTCATAGGAAGAACTGTTAGTGAGTTTACACATTTTGCTTCTGGTAGTCCTTCTGCTTAATAATCCAAAGTGAATTCCCTGTTTTATTGTCGTATCAACTGTAATTATCACATTTCAAAATTCTGCCTCTTAGGTATTTTATTAGTCTTTGTATAGACAAGTCTCACTTCTTTCAGGTACTTTTTATTGAGTTTCTGGGTGTGGCTGTAAATACAGTCATCTCAATACCAAAATTTATTTATTTTTTTAAATTTTTTGAGTCAGTTCACTCTCGCCCAGGCTGCAGTGCAGTGGTGTGATCTCGGCTCCTGGATTCATACAGTTTTTCTGCTTCAACCTCCCGAGTAGCAGGGATTACAGGCATGTACTACCACACTAATTTTTGTATCTTTAGTAGAGACGGGTTTCACCATGTCAGCCAGGCTGGTCTTGAACACCTGACCTTAAATGATCCACCTCCCTCAGCCTCCCAAAGTGCTGGGATTACAGGCGTGAGCCACTGTGCCCAGCTATTTTATTTTTAGAGATGGAGCCTCACTCTGTCACACAGGCTGGAGTGCAGTGATGATCACAGCTCCAACATCATGCTCAGCTACAACATCATGCCTCCAACATAATGCTTGGCTAATTTTTTTAAAAAGTTTTTCATAGAGATGGCGTCTCATTATGTTGCCCAGGCTGGTCTCAAACTCAGTCTTTCCACCTTTGCCTACCAAAGTGCTGGGATTACAGGCATGGGCTACCATGCCCAGCCTATCAAAATGTACTTTAAAAAAGAGATCATATTTATTTGTTTTCTGTCTATTAGATGTTCATTTGATTTCTTGAATAATTTGACTTGGTTTTGAAATTGTGCATTGTAAAACAGTTTGGATATATTTGACCAGCAGGAATCAACCAAGGCAGTTAGGATGGAATTAGGATGGAATGAGAATGTCCTACGGTGGTGAACTAGGTGATTTGACCCAACCCTCCTGCTAAAAGCAACTTGGTTTGGTGGTTAAAGTGCAAAAATTTTGTGGAGAAAGAGTAAATACTTATAAAATTTGATGTTACATTACACTTTTACCTCACAGTTTATTGGCAGTGCAGAGATGAAAGCCTCCTAGTTTTTAGGGTAATGGTCATAAAATGCTTTAGAGATACTTCAAAATAGCTCACCAACCAGTAATTTATACTGGTCCCCATTTTTCAAACTTCTTAATCTTCTGCCCTCACTGAGGGATTTTCATTTTGAGAGTACTATATTGGATGTTAATAATCTTTATGTATGGTAGACAAAGATAATAGCAAACTCCCACAGAGAAATTCTTGTTACGACAAAGTACCTACTTACTAGATTTTAGAGAATCTTTGAGAAAATGTCCCAGAAATATCTGGAATTAACTAGCAGTTCACACATAACTTTGTAGTGCTATTCTGGTTCTTCCATCTTGATCTTATGAGGCCAGATAAACCTGTGTTTTTATTGCAGTTATGTTTTCACCATCGTAAGTAAAAGCAGCAAATGTTTATTCAGCACCTAAAAAGGTGTTTAAGATAGGGATTGGATCTGTCCTAAGAATTTTATGGTAAGGAGTCAGGCATACCATACACTATACATGCTTTGAGTGTAGTTAGTTAAATGCCTATGTTTTATGTATTTCATTGAATATACACTTACATATCTCTTATGCCATACACTGTTCTAAACATTGCAGGCATTAACTCTTCTAATTCTTAAAACAACCTGAAGAGAAAGATACTATTACTATATCTATTTCATCGCAGTGGACACTGAGGTATAGAAGGAGGTTAAGTAACTTACCCAAGATCACACAGCTCGTAAGAGGCAGAGCTGGAGTGAGAACTGGCTGTGTGGCTTCAGGGTGTGTGCTCTTACCTGCCAGGCACTGGCCAACTCTCTAAGTAGGGGATTTTTCTGCTTTTCTTAACATTAATTATTTTTTTTTCAGGATTCAGTTTATATTCTTTGAGTTATGAGTGAGATGAAGAAAAAAGATGATCCTTTATAAATAGAAAATTGTTTTCTTAATCACTGGGAATTTCTAGAATAATGAGTTGTTTTTCCAGTGGGAAGAAGTTTACAGAACTGAGGTAGGTAGAATAATTACTGACCATGGTGAGAGATGGGCAGATGTGGAAATTGAGCACATTAACAACGGAGACAATGAAGCCTGTCCAGGAAGATCTAGATTATAGTACAAAGCAAAGCATGTTTTGTAATTTTTAAAAGTGAATCTCGTGAACATGTGGAACCCAGAGTGTTTCCTTTGTATATCTCCATTACTCAGGAATTAGATAAAGAAACAGACTTTTATTGCCATTTTAGAACATGTTGAAATATAATTGCCATTTTAATACATTAGGGGAAATAGAAGGTAGTCTAATATTTTACTCAGTAAAACTGATCATAGTTCTGATTTCATTTGTTCCATTGAATTAGAAGATCTCTTTCTGCCATAGGATTGTCTGGTCCCCCGGGTGCTGGAAAATCAACATTTATAGAATATTTTGGAAAAATGCTTACTGAGAGAGGGCACAAATTATCTGTGCTGGCTGTGGACCCTTCTTCCTGTACTAGTGGTGGTAAGTATGGTTGATTCTTTTTAAATTGCAGGGCTCTGGAGGCTCTCTGTTACAATTAGTAGGAATTGGCACAGTTGGGAGACCTCTAACGGCTGGCTAAGTTTGGTATCGCTGAAGGAAGGGAGTTCTGTAGTTAGGTGGGAGCTGAGGGAACTGGTTTGGGAGCGTTGTACTTTTCAGAGGAGGCCAGCCTGTGGATAGCTCAGCAGGTACTCAGAAAACTGCGATCACAGGTGCCAGAAGTTGAAGAGGATCAAATGGAAATCTCAGTCCTTTGGCTCCCACGCATAAGGCCAGGCCCCTCTTTGCTCCTGGTTTTTGTTTTTTGTTGTTTTTTCCCCCCGGCTGCATTAGGACCTGTACAATTCAGAAAATACGTCCTTACTCATTCGTCATTTTCCTTATAATGTTTTAACATCTCTTAAGCTTTTTTTTTTAAAAAAAAAAAACCTTACTGTTGTATATGATTGTCAACTGTTTATATAATATGTTCAGTTAAACAGAAAGCTCTTACAGGGGCACTGTAATATACTGCTGTTCCCCTTAGAGCATTTAGCATAGTACATTGTACTTTGCACAGAGTGTTCAGCAAATACTTTCTGATTTGAGGTCATGCAGTCACTCAGAGTTTAATTTGCAGCTCATCAGAGATGAAATAAATATAAACTTAGTTCCCCAAAAGATCATTCAAAGAAAACAGAAAGCATACCATGTAAACACTCAGGAAAGGTTTTTTTCTTCCCTTACCCCTCTTTATGATTTCAGCTTTTCATATTTCAGTTACTTACTTAACATGTATTTGAGTGCCTTCTATAGGTGAGGCATTGTACATGGAAGGTTCTTAAACTGTGTTATATAGTGGTGAACAAGATACAGTCCTGACCTTAGGGAGCATTCGTCTTACACGGGAAACACAAACACAGGCCATTACAATATAAGGTGTGTTGTGAAGGGGTAAATACAAGATGCTTTATGGAAGTATTTGGTTTTTGTATACTCTGTAATAATGCAGGTTTAATACTAAAATTCATAATGGTGAGTCATCATATTTTAGGGACTTGGGTTGATATAGATGTGGAAGATTTCTATTACCACCCTTTGAGAAATCTAGCTCAGAACTTTCAAAATTTTTGAGTCACTATAATGAAAAAAGTTAACTGTAAAATAAAAATTTTGCCCACAAGGTTCAGAATAAAATCCATGTCAATGTGTTGTATAATTTATTTACAGCTTTAGAACTTTGTTAAAGGTATGTACTTAATAAAGGATTTTTAAATAAGTGGCCCTCATTTATATATAGGTGAGAAGGCCATTCCCCCATTTTCACAACATTCTAGAATACTTACAATAGAAAAAGAAAATAATAGCTTGAGATAATAATAGACAAAAATAATTTTTGTGATTAAAGTTACATGGCTATATAGTTCCTAACCTTTCTCAAAAAAATAAGGGTCCCTTTCTAAGGCAAAAAATCATACAGACTGTGAAAGAAAAAAAATACGATAGACTAAACACTATACATTTCTACCTTATTGCATCAGTACACACATACACTTGAAAAATAGCATTACATTAAAGTTTAAGAAGCATTAGTTTTTTGGTCTAAACTCAATCTTTTTTGTGCTTCGAATTCACAGAACCCCTGTGATAGCTTTGAGATCTTCCTGAGGTTCTGCCATTAACAGTTTTGGAATTGCTGGCTAAGACATGGGAGAGTAATTTTGTAATGTTGACTTCAGTGTGATGGGATCTATAGGATAGTAATTTAAAGTATAGCTTTGGCAGTTTACTTACACAGAAATTACTTCATGTGGAAAATTACTTTAGAAAAAGGTTGTATGTGAAGTCAATAAGGAAGTTGAAGTATGGGGCTCGTATGTGCTCTAGAATTGGAACCAATGAGAAGACTCTGAACTGGCATTTAGTGGTCAAAGAGCATGTCTTTAAGAAACTTTTCGATCTTTAACACTACATAGAAAAAGTAGCGCTTAAAAAGAGGGAAGTCAATAAGGAAGTTGAAGTATGGGGCTCATATGTGCTCTAGAATTGGAACCCATGAGAAGACTCTGAACTGGCATTTAGTGGTCAAGGAGCATGTCTTTAAGAAACTTTTCGATCTTTAACAATACATAGAAAAAGTAGCTCTTCAAAAGAGGGAAAATAAGCACTCAGATTAGAACAGCAGTATACCTACAAATTTATTATATGACTAAAGCAAAATAGTGGAAGGTAATAGTAGACCTGGGACTTTGAGTCTTCTAGAATTTGTAAGTATTGATGTTTGTCAAAATATTATACTACAGTGAACACAAAAACATAACCAGTTTCATTCCACAGTTATTGAGTGCGTACTCTTAACACTTTGTTAAGCATTTAGTATAAAACATATGTAAGACATGGTCCTGTAGGCAAAGAAAGACTTATGCAAAAGCATGGTTTCTCAACCTTGGCAGTAGTGACATTTTGTGTCAGATCATTCTTTGCTGTGGGTGACTGTCCGGTGCATTGAAAGATGCTTACTTAGCAGCATATTTGGCCTCTACCCAGTAGGTGCCAGTAGCACCCTACCCCTCACTTGTGACAAGCAACTGTGTCTCTAGGCATTGCCAAATTGCCCCCAGTTGAGAACCACTGTGTGAAAGAGATATGAAACCAAAAATATGTGTTGTATGAATAGTTTTCCATCCATTAACTTAGCTTACATTGCATTCAGTGAGAGCTCCAAATTTTCTAAGTAGTAGGCGATTAGAAGCAACAGACTGGGCAGAAGGGGCAGCTTGAAGAGATATTTGCGTAGCACTTACATAAGGTTGAGAAAATGTCATTTGCAAAAATAAAAGAATGAAGAGTGGAGGGTGCTCATGGAGATAATAGAAATCGGAGGGACACTAAAGTTCTCTTATGCCCTCCAGGATGCTGGCATACATTGCAGAGCTGTTGTACCATAGAAATTCACAGAGATGGGCATGGACTGAAAAGGTTCCAGGCAGACTGTACAAAGGAACAAGGACTTTTACTGATCTTTATGAGGTGGATAAGTTCTGTGTTTTTGTTATTAACAGTTTTTGAAGCACATTCCTGTGTATAATTACATTTGATTCTTCCAGTAGCATAGTACCCTTGTGATGTAGCTGAGGAAAGAAGGGTTCAGGAAGGTAAAGTGACCTCTCAAAATTGAATTGTATGAAATGGTGGAGCCAGATTACAGACCTTGGGCTTGACAAATTGTAACTTAGCAGTGAGGAAACCGAGAGATACTTCTGGCATGAGAGCACAAAGAAAAGGTGGGAAGAAGCAAACAGTGATTTTAAGATGACATTAATCTCCCTGGTTGGAACAGAGGATTGGTGTGGGGACTAGTAGAAGCCAGAATTGGACAGGTAAGATGCAGCTAAAGAATCTAGATGGGAACCTTTGGTCGGTGGGAAGCCATAAATGATAGGTTTTGAAAGGCTTGAAATGTTAAGATTAATCTGACTTCATTGTATACAGTGAGTTGGAGGGAAGCTTAGTAATATGAAATGCAGTTTGAGATTTAGGGAGAAATGGCATGAAGCCTCTAGAAACTGGCTGATAATTGACCCATAAAACTGTTCTATGATTATAAAATGTAGCTGTATGTTTCAGGATCACTCTTAGGTGATAAAACCCGAATGACTGAATTATCAAGAGATATGAATGCATACATCAGGCCATCTCCTACTAGAGGAACTTTAGGAGGTGTGACAAGGACTACAAATGAAGCTATTCTGTTGTGTGAAGGAGCGGGATATGACATAATTCTTATTGAAACCGTAGGTGAGTGTGATATTCTATTTCATAACAACAATATACTATTTTGTGAATGCTATATAAAGATGAGTGACAACTTATTTTTGTTCATTCAGCAGGTATTTGCTAAATGTATAATTAAATACAAGATATCCCATACTCCATAGAAGATATGAATATGTCATTTATAATCCTTACCCTCAAAGATCTTACCATTTAAAAAGTAAAAATAAACGATCTGTCTGGATAACTGTTAAACAGGTGGTATGTTATACATGCCAGAGGAGAACTGTAAGCATTAGGATGACTTGTGTAAATGATGCTTTAGCACAGCACCTATTTTGTTTAAGTACATTTCATATGTCTACAGTGTTCACTAAGAAAATTAATGTAGGCCGGGCGCAGTGATTCACTCCTGTAATCCCAGCACTTTGGGAGGCCGAGGTGGGCAGATCACGAGGTCAAGAGATCGAGACCATCCTGGCCAACATGGTGAAACCCCGTCTCTACAAAAAATAAAAAAAAATTAGCTGGGTGTGGTGGCACGCACCTGTAGTCCCAACTACTCGGGAGGCTGAGGCAGGAGAATTGCTTGAACCCAGGAGGCAGAGGTTGCAGTGAGCCAGGGTCACGCCACTGCACTCCAGCCTGGTGCCTGGTGATGGATTGAGACTCTGTCTCAAAAAAAAAAAAAAGAAAGAAAATTAATGTAGTTGGATGCCTTTTGAAAATGCAGATATGTTTTATTTCATTGTTTTATATCCTTAGCTTATACTTACATGCAATAAAGATACTGAAATGAAAACCCCAAGAAATTCATTCTTGTGGAGAGACAGTCTATTATATTACTGGGTGATAAATGTGATACAGCTTAACTCAGATTTGGGGACCCAGTGAAGACTTCCTAGAGGAGGTGACAGCTGAACTCAGTTTTGAAGGAAGAACTGGAGTTAAAGTATGGGATAAAGGGCATTTGCAAAGATACATGGGAGTGAGAAAACATGGCCCATCCAGAGAAGTGCAGTTTGCTCAGGATACTGAGAGCATGGGGTGTGAAAGCAGGGAGTGAAGGGAGGTCAGCTGGAGCAGTAAGCTGGCCAGATTGTCAGGGACCTTACATGCCATCCCAAGGAGTCTTCTGGAGTTTGCCATGAAAGAAATAGGAAGATGCTGCTGGAAAAGCAGGAGAGTGAGAAAATCAGATACATATTTTGGAGAGATCCCTGGCAGCAGAGTACAGAACGGTTAGAAGGAGGACCAGAATCGAATAAGGAGACTACTGTACTTATCCCAGAAGGGGATGGTAGATGTCTGAACCAAGCAGAGGAAGTGGGAATGGAGATGAGATGGATCAACAAAACATTGAAGATAAATGGGCAGGATTTCATCCATAATAAGATGTGAGATAAGGAAGGAAGGGGCATTGAAGGTGTAGGGAATACTGTGGAAAAAGTAGGTTTGCAGAGAGGAAAACAAGTCAGCTCAGTTGTGAATATATTAAGTGTGAAATGCTTATTAGGTGTCCGAGTGACTGTATGTCTCAAGAGAAATGGACTGAATGAGAAATACAGACTTAACAATTACCAGCATAGTTCATAGTTTCATATTTTAAGAATTTGGTTCAGATAAACTGGGGAAAATATGAGACAAAAATGGAAGATAGTTATATTAATCTGCTAGGGCTGCCATCACAAAATACCATAGACTGGGTGGCTTAAACGGCAGAAATGTATTTTCTCACAGTTCTGGAGATGGAAGGTCAACACAAGGTATCTGTAGGGTTGGTTTTTCCTCTCCCTTTGTCTTGTAGATAGATGGCTGCCTTTTTGCTACATCTTCACTTTACTTTTCCTTGTCTCTTCCTGTTCACTCTACTCTCTTAGTGTCTCTTCCTATCCTTTTGAGGACACCAGTCCTATTGGATTAAGGCCCTACCCTTATGACTTCATTTAACCTTAATTGCTTCTTTCAAGGCCCCGTCTCCAATATAGTCACCTTGAGGGTTAGAACTTTAACATAGGAATGTTTTTAGATGAGGGAAACACAAGTCAGTTCATAACAATAGCCACAACAGGGCTTTAGAAACTCCACTGTTAAAGAGTAGGTGAAAGAAGAGTTAGTTGCCTGAGTGGTATCAAGAGAATCAAAGAAGAGCACCTTAAAAACCACATGTTTTACCTGGAAATTGTAGTTAGCCACTTTTCCCAGAAACTCAAAGTAACAGTGACTCAAACAAGAAAGAGGTTATTTTCTAAATAAAAGAGTCCTAAACCAGGCATTGTGGCCCCAGCCTGTAATCCCAGAACTTTGGGAGGCCAACACAGGCAGACTGCTTGAGTTCAGGAGTTCCAGACCTGCCTGGGCAAGATGGTAAAACCCTGTCTCTACAGAAAAATATTAAAAAATTAGCTGGGCATGGTAGCGTGCGCCTGTAATCCCAGCTACTTGGCAGGCTGAGGTGGAAGGATCACCTGAGCCTGGGAAGTTTGAGGCTGCAGTGAGCTATAATAGCACCATGGCACTCTAGCCAGGGTGAGAGACTAAGCCTCTGTCTCATAAAATAAAATCAAAGAAGCCTGAGGCCAGGCCTGGTGGCTCACACCTGTAGTCCCAGCACTTCAGGAGGCCAAGGCGGAAGGATTGCTCGAGCCCAGGAGTTTGAGACCAGTCTGGGCAACATAGCAAGACCTCAGCTCTACCAAAAAAAAAAAAAAAAAAAAAAAAAAAAAACGGAAAAAATTAGCCAGGCATTGTGTTACACACCTGTAGTTCCAGCTACTCAGGAGGCTGAGGCAGAAGGATGGCTTGAGCCCAGAAGTTCAAGGCTGCAGTGAGCCATGATCGTGCCATCTAGCCTGGGCAGCAGAGCAAGAACCAAAATCAAAAAGGAGCTAGAGGCAGGCAGCTCAGAGTAGGCGTGGTGCCCTCAGAGTCACAGGCTTCTTTTGCCTGCCTGCTCACCGTTCTTAGCATTCAGTTTCGGTCCTCCAGTTTGTTCACGGTTAAAAGACGGCCGATTGAGCTTGAACTGACACCTTCACGTTCCACACGGAAGAAGGAAAGGGAAATAAGGAAGCAGATGGGTGGCAGAAGAGGTATAGCTAGATTAGCCATCTTTGAAGCACTTTCCTGGAAACCCCATCTAATGACTTTTGCTTTGACTCATTCATCGCATCTAGCTGAAAGGGGATCTTTTGAATGTGGTCTTTCATCTGATACATTGATACTCCTAATAACATTGGGGTAAGCAAATACAGAAGAATAGATACTAAATATGCAACTCTAAGTCCATCACACCAAGGAAGGGAGAGAGTTTCCGGAACTTTAGTGAAAGCAAGTTTTTTTTGTGTGAGATGGGAGATCACCGTGTTGCCCAGGTGGGAGTGCAGCAGTGCAATCACAGCTCACTGCAACCTCAGCCTCCCACCCTCAGGTGCAAACTGTCCTTCCACTTCAGCTTCCCAAGTAGCTGGGACTACAGGCACACCACCATGCCCAGCTAATTCTTATATTTTTTGTGGAGACAGGGTCTCACTACATCACCCAGGCTGGAAGCCAGTTTTAAGTGGGGTGAGATGAACATGAAGTGAAGTGGGAGCAGTGAGCATAAATTCCCTTTCTCCGGAAACTTGAGTATAAAAAAAAAAAAAGTGAGAAATATGGTGATAGTCGGAGGAGTTTGTGAGTTTTTTTGTCTTGTTATTTTGTTGCTGGTGTTTTGTTTTATGTGGTTTTAAGATGAGAAAGATTTGAGCACAATTTGTGTATTGTGCTGGGGGTCAAGAGCCTGTAAACAAAGGAGAGGTTAAGATAAAAATCAGCAAGAACCCAGAGGAAGTGGAAAGGAATGAGAGGTTCCTTTTCAGTCAATAATTCTTACACTGAGACTGCAGATGAGGCAGTAAAGCTGAGTTTGTATTTGTGTCTTGTTACCTGTGGAGTCCCAGAGAGGGAGAAGGTGAGGAAGCTCTTGCCTTTATTTCCTCTGTGAAGTAGGTGATGTGGTCCTCTTCAAGCAGGGAGATTATGAGACAGTGAATACTGTGGGAAATGGAATAGAGGCCAACTGAGGGCCAGGCAGCAAGGAAGATGCAGCAGAGGCTGCCTGTCCTGTCTCTTGTCCGCAGAGTTGAGCAATTTCTCTCACGTGCTTATGGAGGAAAGAGCACACGTAGTTGGATTGATCCATACATAATTGGGCGTTTGCAGGCAAGTATGAGGACAAGAAGGCAAAAAAGATGAAAGTGATTGCAAGCATGGTTCAAGATTAGAGTCACAGTGTTCAAGCTACTCGCCGATGAAAGGGAAGCCAAGAAAGAGCTGTGAGAATGAGGAGAGGATGGAAGCTTCTAGGTTCTCCATTCAACCCAAGAACAGAGCAGGAGAGCTGGGAAGGATAACTGGTTTGCTTAGAGGGTAAGATAGAGACATTTAATACATTCTTCAGAAGTGGAATGTTTAAAATGGTGACCAGGTTGATTGTGTGACTATTAGTATGAGTGAATGAAGTAGAATGAAAGTGATGGCCAGTGTAGTTGAGAAAATCTAATAAAGGTGAATATTTTAGGATCTAGTTGTGATTTAAAATTTCAGGTGTGGGTCAGTCGGAGTTTGCCGTTGCCGACATGGTTGACATGTTTGTTTTACTACTGCCACCAGCAGGAGGAGATGAGTTGCAGGTAATTGTTTTGATTTTTTTCCCCCCAAAATACAAAGTGTATGTCTCTGAAAATAAAAATTTCCAATGTTGTGTTTTTGTAAACTAAGTTGATAATGGTTTAAAAAAAGGAGCATCATTCGTGTTGGCTAAAATACCTGAATCAAAGGCAGATTCTCTGTATTTTTTCCCAACTTACAGGAATAGAGTATATAACCTTGAGAACGTAAAATTATGCAACATAATTTTTTCCATCTGCAACATGACTGAAATACAGAAATAGTTCGAGCCAGAAGAGACCATTGTTGTATAGATGTTGTTAGTACACTTGATTCAAAAGTTCTTCATAAGCTATAACTGGGATCCCACTATCCTAGTTTATATTCTTGTAACAACAGGATTCTTACTCTCCTCCTGCACTGCACTTCTGACACTACTACCCAAAGTTAGTGCAGACTTCTTAGAAGCCTCCTTTCACTTCAGACACTAGCTGCAGGATCCAGGGTTCCCAGGCCACCTATACCTCTAAGCAACTGGCTATAAATTTTAGGGTTCCCATTGCCCCTTAGGTTTAGTAATTCATTAGAGCAGTGGTCCCTAACCTTTTTGGCACCAGGGACTGGTTTCATGGAAGACAATTTTTCCACAGACTGGGGGTAATGGGGGATGGTATCAGGATGAAACTATTCCACCTCAGACCATCAGGCATTAATTAGATTCTCATAAGAGGTATGCATACTAGATCCCTAGCACGTGTAGTACGCAATAGGGTTTGCACTCTTATGAGAATCTAATGTCACCACTGATCTCATGGGGCAGAGCTCAGGTAGTAATGCTCACCCACCTGCTGCCTGCCTGCTGTGAGGCTCAGTTCCTCTGTGGCCTGGGGGTTGGGGACCCCTGAGCTAAATGACTCAGAGAACGCAGGAAAGCAAGATATTACAATTGTAGTGTGCTTATAAAGGATACAAATCAGGACCATCCAAATGAAGAGCCATGTAAGAAGTCTGGAAGGGCCCAAATGCAAAGCTTCTGTGTCCTCAGGACATATTTATCTCCTGGCATATTGATGTGTATCATCAACCAGAAGGCTTTCTGAGCTTTGGTGTCCCAAGATTTTCTTGCAGTTTCATTATGTAGGCATGACTGATTGAATAGCTGAACTTGATCTCTAGTCCCTGTCCCCTCCCTGGAAGTTGGGTTGATATCACATGGCATAAAACCTCAACCCTCTAATTACATGATAGGTCTTTCTGCCATAGTCAGTCTGCCATCCTGAGTGATCTCATTGTATAAACTCAGGCATGGCCCCAGGCATCTCCCATGAATAACAGACACTCCTGTTACTCAGGAAATTCTAGGAGTTTAGAACTTAAAAGATTACCTCCCTGCTTTCTCTTAGACAAATGAAGGTGTCGTTAAAAAAAAAAAAAAAAGATTACCTCCCAGAAACCCAAAGACCACATTTTTTCTTCCTTTTTTTTTTTTAGAGACAGGGCCTCACTCTGTTGCCCAGGCTGGAGTGCAGCAGCATGATCATAGCTCTCTGTAACCTTGAACTTCTGGGCTCAAGCTGTCCTCCTGCCTCAGCCTCCCAAGTAACTGGGACTACAACCATGTGCAACTACTCTCAGCTAATTTTTAAATTTTTTTTTCTACAGATGAGGTATTACTTTGTTGTCCAAGTTGGTCTTGAACTCTTGACCTCAGGCATTCCTTCTGCCTCAGCCTCCTAAAGTGCTGGGATTACTGGTGTGAGTCACCACACCTAGCCTAGACAAATTATTTGTTATACAATATTTCCAGTTCAATTTTGTAATTCGAAAGCATAGTGATAGCAGACTATGGCTGCTGATTTAGAAACATTATCTATTAGAATTTCATAATTGCAAGTTTTATTAAAAAATATTTGAAAAGAAATTTTAATCTTATATAGAAAAATCTGTACTTACCAAATAAGATTTGGCTTTTGGATTTCATCCTTTATTTCTAATATTTTTATGTAACAATTTGAATTAAGAGATTGAGGTTTGTCCACATAAAGCTGAAGGAAGAAAAATACAAAGTATAAAAAGAAGTAATAAAAAAGATATTGACATCTTTTTAGACGTCAGATTATTTTTCCTCAAATGCAAATTGAAAATAAAATCCTAATTTTAAGGAAAATTTCAAAGACTTTTTTCTGGAAATGCAAATGTTAATGATAGGTGTGTTTCCTTTTTAAGACCCTTAAGGATGGATGGTTTTGCATCCTGGAGTGTTAGCTCATGAGAAGCAGATTCCATCATGAGACAGTGTGAACTCTATTGCCTCAATCATGTTGTGGCTTGATGTATTTACCCTAATTTTGAGTGTATTTCAACATGGTAGTCTCTAAACTTGGAAGAGATATTACAGACGACTTCTATAATCCCAACAGCCAATGCTTTTGAGTAATTTCTGTCAAGTAATTGTGTCTTGACATCCAGGGCTTAGGAGGATACGGATAAAATGTTAATGACATATATGACTTTCAAAATCTTAGCACTGACTAATTTTCCCATTTTTATTTTGGTCATCATTAAATGTTTTTGATCTCTGTAGGGTATCAAAAGAGGTATAATCGAGATGGCAGATCTGGTAGCTATAACTAAATCTGATGGAGACTTGATTGTGCCAGCTCGAAGAATACAAGCAGAGTATGTGAGTGCACTGAAATTACTCCGCAAACGTTCAGAAGTCTGGAAACCAAAGGTAAGCTTGCACTGCATTCTGTATCTTTCACTCTGAGTGAATTGTGTACATTAGACGACAGGATGTAAGTCCCAAAGTAGACATATAATCAATCTTGCTTCCATGTGAAGATTATAGTTTTAAAAATCATGACAAAGCCAGAGTGTGTAGTGATGTTTTGAAATATAATCCATTAACCACTAGATGTCAAAAGCTAGGTAAGAGGTGATAGATTTGATTGTTTAAAACTTGATTTGAGCCATTTGAAAGTGATAGCAAATCCATTCTGAAAGGAACCATCCTTAAGTTATGGAGCAGCTAATGATTTGATAACCTATATTGGAATTTGAGTAAGAGAGAAAAGGCCTCCATTCCCATTATGTTTGTTGGGTGCCATTTTCAGTAAGGAAAAAATTTTAATCCTGTAATAAGTGATGCAGTAATATTAATGTGGGCCACTTTATTTGTAGACAGATACTATGTTATTAAGGAATAAGCTGTAATCATTATAAGAAGACAATGATGACTTATCTTACTGTCATATCCCAGTTTTCCCCAATCATGTTGTCTGTGTTGAGTCTGGAGCCACCTTTAGGTGTACAGGCAGGTGTCAGATGCCCAGCTCTTCCACTTGCTAAGTCAGGCAAATTTGACAAAGAGAATTAGGCTATTTCTCAACCTAGCTTCATTTTCTGGCACTCAGGCCTCAGGGGAACCTACCTGGCATTGCCCTTATCACAAGTCCTCTATGATGCCCCTGACCATCTGAGAAATCCTAAATTAAAACAAATCTTGGCAGGGCACAGTGGCTCACACCTGTAATCCCAGCGTTTTGGGAGGCCAAGGCAGGCAGATCCCCTGAAGTTGGGAGTTTGAGAACAGCCTGACCAACGTGGAGAAACCTCGTCTCTACTAAAAATACAAAATTAGCTGGGCATGATGGCACATGCATGTAATCCCTGCTACTCGGGAGGCTGAGGCAGGAGAATCGCTTGAACCCTGGAGGCAGAGGTTGCAGTGAGCCAAGGTCACGCCATTGCACTCCAGCCTGGGCAACAAGAGCGAAACTCCATCTCAAAAGAAAAAATAAATAAATAAATCTCTGGGCTAAAAATTTGACCTTGAATCAGTGTTTTATTTCTGCTGTTCGCTTACTAATCCTAGGTATATTACCTCAGAATATGTATTGGTATGTTTACTTTGACACAGCAATAAAATCTCATTCACGTCAGTTGCCTATTTCTGTAGACTGTAAGAATTAACTGGCAGATATCAGAGTCCCCATGAAAATGTTTTCTATTATTTTGAGTAAAATGGTCTGGTTCTTCCCTTTTCAATAGGTAATTCGTATTTCTGCCAGAAGTGGAGAGGGAATCTCTGAAATGTGGGATAAAATGAAAGATTTCCAGGACGTAATGCTTGCCAGTGGGGAACTAACTGCCAAACGACGGAAGCAGCAGAAAGTTTGGATGTGGAATCTCATTCAGGAAAGCGTGTTAGAGCATTTCAGGACCCATCCCACAGTCCGGGAACAGATTCCACTTCTGGAACACAAGGTTCTCACTGGGGCCCTGTCCCCAGGACTAGCAGCAGACTTCTTGTTAAAAGCTTTTAAAAGCAGAGATTAATAAAATTCGTTCCATATAATGATTTTACCTATCATTTCATAAATTAATAGATAAATCACTTGTATGCTTACATTTTCAGTAATTGTATGGTGGTGGTCTTTGATTGTGAACTGTGCTTGAAAACTTGAAGGAAGTTAGATATGGATGGCAAAGTTTAGACAGTCAGTATTTATAAGGTATCTGTTGTATGTTACTGATTTCTGTTTCTTTCTCTTCTTATACCCTGACATGATGGCCTGTAGGGTAGTTTCTTCTTATTAGTGAAGAGCAGAGAAAACTGAGGAGAGCAGAAAATATCTTGTACTTTAAAATGCTTACTTTGATTCCATATTATCTGAATTTCCAGAGAAGATGTAAACAAGAGTGACCATATTTTTGGAGTCCTTCTTGAAGCCAAAACAACACACAGTGGGTTGCTATGAGCTGAAAATCGTAATTGACATTTAGTGTACCACATTATTCTAAGAATTTCTGAAATCACCATGTACATGCACAATGAAACAACTGGAATAATGTGATGATATGAACACAGTTCTGAAGTCTGCTTGTCTGGATTTGCAGGTACCCTTCCCCCACTGGTGTGATAGGTAAGAGAGCAAAAGGGAACTGGGAAAATCAGCTACAAATAAAATGGGTGATTAATCCCCAATTCTTGGGCCCATTTTATTTGTAGCTGATTGGAGTAAACCTCCAAGGACGAAGTGAGGTCAGAATGATTCAAGGATTATTCGATTGAAGACTACCAAAGGCTTTTGCTTCTCTTCTTCCTTGGGCATTTCTCTTCATTTTAGCATTTTTTAAATCTACTTTTTTCTTGACGGTGAACAACTTTTATCCTATGGAGGAAGCCTAGCACAGTGATTAAGAGCTTGGGCTCTGTAGTTGGACTATGTGGGCTTAAACTTTAAACCCAAATCAATCGCATATTAGCCATATGAGCTAATCTCTCTAAGCTTCCATTTCCTCCTTGGTAAAATGAAACTGACAACTTTCTAAGGTTAGTGAAGACTAAATGAGATAACGTAGGAGAATTATTGAACTGTCACCATGGTGTATAGGAAATACTGAAATGCTGCTTACTATCATTATTACATTAAAGTTGACTTTGCCTTGTCAAGAACATAATTATCATTAACTTCTATAGGTAGGAAAAAATGTACTGAGCTCCAAAACTGACAGACATTTGGCCTAAAAATACCAAATATCATTAAAATGATGAGAGTTATTTTAATAGTTGACATTAGCTATCCCAGTGCAACCTAACAATGCATTTACTGTTCATAATCATTTGATCATATGGCTATTTACCTGCTTTCCCTAAGCCTTTATCGCTGTTACCCAGTGTATACTGAAGACAGCAGCTAACGAACAACATATGTATGATAATTTATGTAGCTAAACCTGTAATGCAAAAAAAAAAAAAAAAAAAAAAAAAACAGGAAAAATCAGTGCATAGCATCCAAACATTGTCCTCACCAGATAGACTGCCATCATCGAAGTCATAATGCTGCTGTTAAAAACTAGTAAACTACTAGTAAACTGTGAAGACAGAAGTAACTCCTGTGATCTATACGTTTGTGCAGATGGTGGAGCTTTGCTGCTCCTGAAGCCTGAGAAATGCAAATGCGACTTCGTTAATGCAAATGCTTCCTACGCCAGACTTTATGAAACTCCTCCTAAAGTTGAATTCTTATCCAAGTGGGCATATGTTAGGGTGCCGTTGTAATTCAGGTAGAGTGTCAGAGTGGAGGCTGGCACCAACAGTAGATGTTCTAAACATTAGTGTTTTTCAGGTAAGACTACAAAAATGATGAACATGTCAAAACTTTAAAAGGAACAATCAGAAAAACTCTTTAACATATGTTTTTCTTTCTATAGTATTTTAATTAAAATTTACTAAATTTATGAACATTTTAATCCCACTTGAGATGAATACTTAATGACAGTTGTTGTTCCACGAAGCTTCTATAGATTTGCTTTGTCATTTGTGGTATGTTTGATAACAAAAATATTAGTGGCAGAAAAACAGTTATATTGAATGCTTTTGTTTTAGGGAAAATTTCACTCTGTACTAGAAAATGTAGATGATGTGAGTCAAAGTTCATTAATACTTCCCTGAAAATTTGTGTATGAAAGTAGCCTTGGAGCAGTTTATTCTGCTTAGCCCTCTCAGCTTCTTGATAGAATAAGGTGAGGGCATATGTAAGTCAGTAAACTATTCTACTGTTAGTAAGGTCAAAGGCTTAATTTAAATAATTATGCTTTTAACTAACACAGAGGAAATCATGTGACCTCATTCTCAAAGCTCGTTAACATCCACCTGGCCAATCTCAAGATGTGGATAGAATTCATTCTTTTTTTTTTTTTTTTCAATTTTTACAATAATTTTTGACACATCAAAGCTGTGCATGTTTATGTGGGCACAATTTGATACTTCAGTACATGTATATGTTGTGTAATGATCAAATCAGAATACTTAGCATATCTGTTATCTCACGCATTTTTCATTTCTTTGTGGTGAGAACATTTAAAAATCTTTTTTTCTAGCTATTTTGTAACATACAGGACCTTACTGTTGTGAACCACAGTCACCCTACTGTGCCATAGAACACCACAACTTATTCCTTCTATCTCATTGTAACTTTGTACCCACTGAGCCCCTTCCCTTCCTTCCTCCTGCTCTCCCCTTCCCAGTGTCTGGTAACCACTGTTCTCTTCTCTATGAGATAAACTCTTTTTTAGATTCCACATGAGTGGGGTCATGCATTAATTGTGTTTCTGTGTCTGGCTTATTTCCCTACACATAATGTCCTCCTGGTGTATCCATGTTGCTGCATGGTGTTAATAGAATTTTACAGAGAAATATCTTAGCATGACAGCATAGCCATTTATAGGGCTCATACTTAAATGCCAAATCTTGTTATATATGGAACCCAACTATTTCAAGGATCAATGTTCTCTTATGAAGTCACATTAGCATTTACACCCAGATTTTGCTGACTCAGAATTCCATCGAATGCAGGATCTCAGTCTTCTGAAAAGTCCTCTCTCCAACTATTTTTGGAAGTCTCAGGGGTTTCCTCACTGATTCACAAACAAGTTCACACTCTTGGGTGCAGCCTACTCGTGCCAGGCTTCTGTTGGGCCTCCACTATTTCTACTGGTGCTGTTCCTGTAGGAGAATGCTGCCTTGCTTAGATGTTCCCAAACTGTGAAACACTTAAATTGCCAAAATAGTGCTATGTTTTCAAAGCACAGCATCCTTGCCTCTCTTCCCACAAGGGCCGATGCTTTGTGCTGGGATAGGAACCAACTACTACCATCTCTCATTGTCCTCAGGTCTCCCTGTCTGTCTCTTCCCCTGAGCACCTAAGTACACAACCTCTGCAGAAAGTTTTCCCCACACAAACCCACTTTTCAAAATGTAAATCAGCTCCTGCAAAGGATGGCTGGGTTGTTGGCTGTCCTTCCTTTTCTGGTAGTATCACCTTTGGCTGAATCATGACCTCCCAGCTTCACATGTGGATATGGTTGCTAATTCTGTCAACCCCTCAAAAAAGGTATTGCCCCCATTTTACAGAAAGAGAAATTGAGCATCAGGCATACTAGGAAATTAATCAAAGTTCACCATTTCTAAATGTAATGGATTGTATACATTAGATTCAACCCATCGCCATTTTCCAAGTTGCTCAAAGCACTCTATGAACCTCATTCTCTCTATAAGACAGTTCAGTGGCAGATGTTATCTTCAATTATATGTAACATCTGTGGTATAGAGTAGTTAAGTAATTTGTACATAACTCAGACTGCAAGATCCTGCTCAGTGTTTTAACTTGAAGGTCTTTCTTCTATAACCTAATATCCTTGATTTTGCTTTGTGGAGAACACACCTCAAGGTATTTTATTCCAGTAGAATTTTTTGCTTGTGTTTAAGGATAATATTTTAGACATTCAAACCAAATAGAAACCCTTAATATCAGCTTCTTTATTAGCCCAACTAGAAATGATGGAAATCTACCGGCTTGGGTAAGAGAGTAATATACTGGCTCGTCTAATCATACAGGGAGAAGAGTAGGAGTACAGTAAACTTCACAGGCACAAATGCTGGGGATTCCCCCTGCCTTTTATCCTCTTTGTATTATTGACTTCATTCTTCTGCCTTCCTCCACATAGCTGGAGATGTGGCAACAGCAGCACTTAGGTCCACAGGAAGGATTTCCCCTATCTCCATAGACCTAATTCTAAAAGTCCCAGGGGAGCATTCTTGCTGGTCTGCCTGACAGGTCGTAGGTCCATCTCTATGGCCAAGGATATGGGTTCTATGATTGATTGGAGTTGAGGAAAGATCACTTCCCCAAAATAAGAGGTTTGATAGTCACAGAATCAAATCAGATGCCAGGCAGACCAAACAGATGTCTATCATAGATACTTTAATCTGTTTTGGAATAAAGTGAGATATAAATGTATTATTGATTGGTGGCTTATATTAAAAGGTTCAGTCTTCATGACAAGGTTTAATTACCGAATTATTGGTAATATAGTTAACCCTTGAACAATATGAATTTGAACTACGTGGGTCTATTTACACACTGATTTTCTTCCACCTCTGCTACCCCTGAGATAGCCAGACCAACCACCCCTCTTTTTCCTCCTTCAGCCTACTCAGCATTAAGATGACAAGGATGAAGACCTTCATGATGATCCACTTCCTCTTAATGAGTGATAAATATATTTTCTCTTATGATATTCTTAACATTTGCTTTTCTCTAACTTTATTGTAATAATATATAATACACATACAAAATGTATATTAACTGTTGATGTTATCAGTAAGGCTTCTGATCAACAGGAAGCTATTAGTAAACTTTTTGCATAGTCAAAAGGTATACATGGATTTTTGGCTATATGGGGTTTCAGCACCCCAACCTCAGTGTTGTTCAAAGGGCAACTCTATACCCATTGAAACACACACAAGTGAGGTTCATATTGTCAGCTGTCACATATTTGAAACTTATATTAATAACACATAGAAATAAATAACACCCTTATTT